TTTTTTTCTTTTTTCTTTCACCCGCGACTGCGGTTGTGTCGCGCGCCGGTTCCCTAGGCCTTCTCGTAAGATTACTCGTAAGATTATTCAGGAGTACGCCCGGTGATCGGCGCAAATGGATTCAGACCAAGTGTATCCGAGGAGGGAAGCTGTTTTTCGGGAGGGAATGGGGAAGAATGAGAGAAACGGTGCTGAAGAGAAGCGGCAAAGAATCACGGCGGCGAGAGAGAGGACGTGGGTCGAAGAGAAGAGAGCACGCATCGACGGTGGAGAACGGAAGAGAATGAACGGAAACGCGGAAAGTGAAGAAGAAGGTTGACGATAGCCGGGAGGAGATCGAGGAGAAAGGGCTTGGCGATGATCAAACGTAGGAATGCGCGCACTCGTGAAATATTCGCGTTGTACGTATTGCGTTATAGATAAACGGGCGAACGGATGCCAGTTAATGACGCCAATAGGGTGATTCGCGGCCGATTAACCCTTTCGATACTAACGACGAATTTAGCCGTCCATCGTTGAACAACGACGATTATAATTACCGTCCATTGCACGTTGATAACTATTATACTAAAAATACGTGTGGTACTGGGGGAAAAAAAATCGAACGGTGGGGGTTCCTATAACGAGTGGGGAGTTAAGAAAAGGTGATGTTAAATTTCGAACGTCAGACAACTTAGTTTAGAGAGGTATGATAAAAGAGATGTTTTTACGCTGTCTACTTTCTACACCGCTGAATTTGTCAACACCAACAAAGAGGAATTTTAAAACTCGTGAAATAATACATAAACCAGCATGTGTAGTCGACTGTAATTATTCGATGGGAGCGGTTGATAAAAGTGATGTCGAATCTACGAGGAAAACCATCGAACGGTATAAAAAGGTTTTCTTTCGGACGTGTCGGTTTGGAATTCATGTCGCTTGTATAAATTCGAAAACAAAGAAAGACACTTTGATCGTCGACTTTCACCTAACGTTGACGAGACAAATTTTACAAAAGTATGACAGAGACAATTTTGTGAAAATTATTGCCGAGTCTTTGGATAAAAATCCTCTCTCGGTTTGCTAGGCATTTTCCTCCGATTTGTACCGGTAGTGGTGTTCGAGAAAATGCATTAACCCAAAAATGATAGACGACGAGAAAGTCACTAAAGTTGGCGTTGTAAAATTTGCGACGTAAGTTTACGTATCTAGACCTGTTTTGAAATATTTCGTACAAAATTATATTATTAAAAAATTTTAGAGGTATCCTAAATTTAATAAATATTGACATCTAATGACAATAATTTAACTTAATTATAACATAACCTATATTTTAGTTAACTATATTAATATTTAGTTATTTTGAAATATTTCGTACAAAATTATTTTATTAATTAATTTTATTAGAGGTACCCGCGAGTAATGTCGTTTTCTTTAAATTTAATAAAAATTGCCATCTAGTGACAATAATCTAACTTAATTATAACATAACCTATATTCTAGTTAAATATATTGATATTTAGTTATTTTGAAATATTTCGTACAAAAATTATTTTATTAATTAATTTTATTAGAGGTACCCACGAGTAATGTCGTTTTCTTTAAATTTAATAAAAATTGTCATCTAGTGACAATAATCTAACTTAATTATAACATAAACTATATTTTAGTTAAATATATTGATATTTAGTTATTTTGAAATATTTCGTACAAAATTATTTTATTAATTAATTTTATTAGAGGTACCCACGAGTAATGTCGTTTTCTTTAAATTTAATAAAAATTGTCATCTAGTTACAATAATTTAACTTAATTATAACATAACCTATTCTAGTTAAATATATTGACATTCAGTGTACTTATTATTAAATTATATTACAGTACAAACTGTATTAACTCTTGAATCAAATAAAATTTTGTACAGTATCCAAAAAACGACGTTACTTGTAGGTACCCCTAATATAAAGCGTTATTACTATTAAATATTGCTATAAATTCGTTACGTTGCGTGTCACGCTCCTTGTATCCGGTCAAGTGACGTTCAACGTTGTAATTATCCTGTTCAACATGTTCAACAGTGGTCAAAGATGAAGCCGTATCGAAAGGGTTTCTTTTGGCGAACGCGAAAAATCAACACGTCCACGTTTTCCGGTCGTCTCTCGCGCATTCCGATTCTACCATTTTCATTCCTCACGGCTCCGCCTAATCTCGTCGTTTGCGCGCTTCTCGCGATATCAACCGTGCAACGATCGAAACGTGTTCCACGCGATCGCCATTAGCGCGTATCTCCCAGTGTTTTAACACGCAACATCGGAGACGATTCTCTCGCATTTTACAAGCATATTTAACGCTCGAGTGGTTCTCCGACTGGTTCCGAGCGTTAACACTTTCACGGCGGGCATTGAACACGTCACGCATGTGTGTATAATACTTGACCTTGCTTGGCGAAAAGTATTAATATAAATAAACGATAACTAAAATAGGCGGACTTACACGCTCGTTGTTTTTGTTCAAACAGAAATTAGTTGAAATATTTTTTATGCAATTCGAACAGTGTGAAATTAGTCATACCGATCACGGCTCGATCGTTAACGATACGTTAGTGAAATTACAATAGCTGAATTAATAGTGTATAACAACAAAAATTCTACGATTGCAATTTACGAAACATACATGAAAATGTTAACACGAAAGAACTACCAAAGTCAGGTGAGAAACGATCGTTTTTACCATTTTCGTTAAATACTTGATTTCTGTGCCTGTTGAACCGTGTGTTTTTAGAGATTTAATACATAAACAATAGCTTTCGTCATACAGTTTCACTTCATTTTTTTTTTTTTTTTTTTTACTTCAAGAAGTCTCTGAATTGGACATTTTAGTCGGTAGTTCGAACGTGTTGCTTCCGCGAAACGTCGATTGAATCCGCTTCACCTGCGATCGTCCTCCGATTCTTCCCGCGTCTCCTCGCTTCGCCGCTTGTGCCGCCTCTCAGTCAACCCTCTCTTGCCGAACCCTGGCGCGCGATCGTCTTCGCGGTACGCGAGTCTTCCCTGTGTCTTTCGTCGAAACTTTTCGAACGAGAGAAAGAGAAAGAGATAGAGAGTAAAGGGACGACGACGATCGTCGTGTCGCGCAAGTGTTGCCCTACGAAGGAAAGAGGGACACGTACAAACGAAAGGAACAACCGAGGTGGGAGGGGAGGGGGTGTAGCAGCGGAGAAAAAAAAATAAAATAAATAATAAAATAAAGAGGAACGAAAAGAAAGAAAAAAGAGAACGAAAAATATATACATATAATATACGGCGTGTGTGTGTCTATTGAAAGAGAGAGAGAGAGAGAGAGTCGGTCGGGCCAGCAGCTAGGTACATGCAAGATCGATCGATCTTCCGGGTTGTGGGTGCAGCGCCCACAGGGTATCGCGAAACGAAAGAGAGGAAAAAAAAAAAAAAAAAAAGAAAAAGCCGAACCGACTGACTATTTTCTAGCTGACTATTCGACCCTGCTGAAGCTGAAGGCGCCCACGTGGACGCGGCACGATCTCCAGGAGGCGATCGAGGCGGTGGTCACGCAGAAGATGCGCTTCACCCAGGCGTCGACGAAATACGGAATACCGAAAGGCACACTGTACGACAACATCCTGGGAAAGACGAAGAGAATGATGGTGCTGGAGGAAGCGGGGCTGAACTCGAGCGAGGAGACCGCCGTCCTCGAGTTCTGCTGCGACATCAGCGTCAGCCCGTACAACCGCCGTACGAAAAAGTCGCTGAACGCGATCCTCAACTTCGTGGAGAAACTCAGGCGGAAACGCGACCCGAGCTTTGTGTTTAACGGCCTATCCGGCTTCCGTTGGTGGTGGGCATTCTGTAAAAAGCACTCGATCGTGTCGCTCTACTTCAACGACGAGAACGAGAACGATCAGTAACGATCGTTGTTGTCTACGGGACAACCTACAACGGGCTTTGCGCGTTTCCCTCTTGTAAATTCTCAAATGTAAATTACGTCTCTCGTCCCGTGAACCGGTTGATGATCTGCGATAGGTCTGTATTTGTAAAACCGTGTTGTAAATCGTCGACGATTAATAGCGATTGCAGGTAGGTAGATCGCAATTGCAAATCGTTAAATTGTTAATTATCGGAGGAGAGGGGGGGGAGGGGCGACAGCGACTTCATCGATCCCTCCCCCCTTCCGATTCATTTGTTTCTCACATTCCACGCGTATCCGCGTTCGGATTCTTGCCGGGTCCCGTTGATGAAATCATCGACACAGATTTCGCCGACGATATTTCATCGACTCCAGATTTGCCCGACG